CACACGTACACGATGCATCTCGGCGAATACTCGTACACGCGAAGCCACCTGCCGCCAAAATACAACAAATAGCCGTTTTACTTTCTATTGTCCGCTCCGTGTCCGATTCGTCGCGCGCGCGCGCGCGCGCGGGACATTGGTCATTCTCGGAGTCACACACAGAGAGACCCTCGGTAAATTTTCCAACAAAGGGGATTAAATGTCACTCGAAACTCGAAGCACGCGCCGGCTTTATCCGACGATGACCGAACCACTTTTCGATCAGCGGTGATGGTAATCATCACTTCTGCGATGCGATCGAGTGACGTCTACCGTCTATCTAAAGACGGATTTCGGACCAAGCAAACAGCAAACGCGAACGAACGAACACAAATAAATGAATCCGCTTTAATGAGCGTGGTTGGCAAGCGCGAGCTCAAATTTACATCGGTGAATATATGGTCCATCTTTTCTACCGGAGGAGAAAGGCGCTCATTATATTTATTTATGCTCGTCCGTAAGTATGCTCGTTCGTCCTTGCACACCGCGTCGTGGTCTTGGACTCAACTTAATACGGAGCGTTTCGCGCGCACGTAGATCTCTATCAGCGGCGCGTGGCGTTATTCGTTCCGAAGAAAACGGCGATAAATTCTCGAACAAAAGCGAGCTCTCCCCCCGTTAAATACTTAACGGCCGGCGTACGCTCGGCGTCGCTTTAATTTGAACGAACGGCGCGCGGCGCGGCAAACCATTACAACCCCCGCGAGGACGAACCGCCGCGATGAAACTGGCTGCAGTTTCGTAAGTTGAATCACTTCTCGAACCCCCGTTATTCTAGAAATCCTCAGGTCCGAGTTTAACTTCCGTCTCGTTCGCGGTTCCGGTTTCTCGGGGCGCGGGCCGCATCCCGGCCCCGAAACCGCCTCGTCCCACATTTGTCATCATGTCGAAACTCCCGCGAAATTATTCCCTTGCACCAAACTGCAAGCGCTCGCGAATTAATGTCCGTGCCATACGAACGCTTGATGATTTTCGCGCGCGCGAGTCGGCTCGTCGTCCCCCCCCCCCCGCCTCCCTCGTATTTTGTTTTGTGCGTGAAATCGCGCGGAAAAAAGCTCCGCTTCGGAGCGGAGAGGAAGAGAGCGTTTTGCCGCGTTTAAAGGCAGTCGAACGCGCGTTGTCGGCGCGGCTTGCTTACGCTCGATTATCGGCCCTTTTGCACGACTGATCCCGTGACCCCGGAGCGGATCGTACGTGAAGCCGGCCTCGCGTACGTGTGCACGTGTGTCACCCCTTTGAACTTCCTGTCCGGACACGGGGCAAAAAGAGCAGAACGCCGGGAGAGATAGAGGCGTTCCCTCCGCCCTCAGAAGAAAATCACGTCCAGGGAGCGTGGCGGCGCGGGGTTTAGTCGGACGCCGATAATTCCGGAGGACGGATCGGAGTGTCGGTGAGAAAGCGGAGAAGAGAGCGTGTAAACGAGGGATCGATCCGCGGAATTATGTTCGCCGGGGACACCTCCCCGATTGGTATCGTTCGCGCGTCGTTATCGCTCGATCGTGTTCGCGAGGCGCGGATCGATCGCGCGGACAATCTCCAATCGTCGACGATCGGCCGCGCGATATTTTGACACGTGGCGCAATGACGTGTGTGCATATGCGCGCGTGTTTATCATTTTAAATGTATACACATTTTTAAATGTATATAGAGAAAGAACAGAGAGAGAGAGAGAGAGAGAGAGAGAGAGAGAGAGAGAGAGAGAGAGAGAGAGAGAGAGAGAGAGAGAGAGAGAGG